CGCGTTTCATCTGAAGAAAAATGCTGCTGAAGCCACTGAAATGATTTGTGCTGCATATGGAGAGAACGCTGTAAGTCATGCAACATGCAAAAGGTGGTATCAAAAGTTTCGCCAAGGAGATTTCAGTCTTAAAGATGAATCGCGTGCTGGACGCCCTGAAAAGATTGAAACGGACGAATTGCAAGCACTGCTGGATATAAACTCTGCGCAAACTGAAAAGGAGCTTGCAGAACAGCTTGGCGTTACGCAGCAAGCCATTTCCGTACGATTACATACGATGGGAAAGGAAATTTTACAAAAAAAAGCTCAGAACTTTTTTGTACACCTAATAAAATATATAAGCCACTGTCGATTCAATGATCTATATTTGTGAGTGAGTGTATTTACTTACCATATTTAATTTTTTTTATTTATTTAGTGTAATCATGTACAGATTGATTAAATATAACGACAATATAAAGAAAATCTTAAAGATGCCTTTAGAAGAGAGTAAATATATACATATAGCAAAATCATTGCACGTATGCGTTATCCGTATTTATTCAACAATTTGTTACATTAATGTGCGATAAAATGCGACTCAACAGGTTATTTATTTTACTGCAAAACAGAGAATTAACGAAACGGTATAATTTAACATAAAAAAATGTGTTATGGACTTGTGCATAACATTAATTGTAAAGAAATAGTAATGTATACAATTTTACAATTTTCAACATTTCAACGTTCACTCATTCAAAATTTCTTGTGTAATCATAACTTATTTCAGCTGCTTTCGGAAAAAAGAATTTTTGTCGCACGCGACAGAGTAAATTAACAGTACCAGTTCGAAATTCGATATAAGAGTGAAAATCCTCAACTTTAATCCAACGATATAAATTATAAGAGAAAGCTCCTTTTGTTTACAAATTGATTACCTATAACATCATTTGCCTACATCATTGCCGACAGTTCATTAAAGTTTCATTAATTGTGCACAAAAATTGTTGTTTGCAGCTCGATTGTGCTTACATGCACTATTGCGCACAAATTAAAAGAAAAATATACGTTTGCACACATGATATTATTGCGCATAAACTGCATTACACACATAATATTATTACAGCTCGGCGTGTGCCTACAAGCATTTAAATTACATAAGAAAATAATATATGTTTTTAAAACAGAAAATTTGTGTTTTTAAAGCAGAGAATAATGTATATGCAATTGATCTGTGGGCAGTAGTAAAAGTAAATAAATGTATAGGCAAATATGACTTCGCCTCTGAAATTTTTATTTCTGTGTAAAAGGGCTTGTAGGCAATCGATTTGTAGATAATAATAAATTATATATGCAATGCAGTTTGTGCGCGTAAACGTGCTTTTTTTCTCTTAATTTTATATTTGTGCGCAAAAACGAACTGTTGGCAAATGTGATGTAGGCAAATGGTGTTGTAGGCAATCAATTTGCAGGCAAACGAGGTCCAAATTATTATACCTACGTGGTACGTAGTAACGTTCAACATATATCTCTGCGTTCCAATTTTATATACTGTACAATAGAGAGAAAATTGAAAAATAATATAAAGTTATAATTCTTCTGCTACGATCTGAGTCCTTTATGGAGTCCTCATGGAGCTTACATAATTTAAAATATGAGAGTACTTTGCGATAAGGGTACAGTTGATACCCTAGTTGATACTCTTTATTTGCTACCCTATTTTTTCTTGTGGATTAGATTCGTTGCAAGATGATTCTCCGCTTTGTTTTTTGTCTACGCTTATCATTAAACGTTTAAAAATATATAATACCTAAATCCCGCTACATTCTTATATGTATTAGATAATTTTTATGATATAATTGTTTGTCATAAAATAGAATTTTAACAATCTAGTTTGAATCAATTGTTTATAATTGTTTAGTAATTGCTTTTATGTAAGTCAAACATTAAATTTTCTTTTAACAAACAATGATTTCCATAGATTAATTTTACTATTTAAAGATTTATACACATAAGTGTTGTTAAATGTTTGCAAATAAAAAAACCAAATACTGTATTTCTAACATTACTGTGGAAGAAACAGACTATTGCAAGAAAAATTCTGCGAAATAAGATTGTAAATAAAAATATCTATAACAAAAGAAACGCTATATTAACAATATATAAGGAAACTATGCTCTGATCGATTTCTAGTTTTAAAGATTACATAACAATTTTATTGAAGTAATAACAATTTAAATACAGTCCTGATGAAAATTTTTATCAGAAATTTTATACGAATTGGAACACTTTTCAGAAATACTAGTTTACATTTTAGAACTTCTAATATATGCGAATTCTGAAATATTCTAAAATTTTTGATAATATAATTTTTGAAAAAATGCGTTAAATTGTTTTAAATTTTATAAGATTTCGTCAGAAATTTTTAGAATAAGAAATTTTAGAAATTTTACAGAATATTTCAGAATTCGCATCTTTAATATGAAAAATTTTCTAGATAAGATATAGACTTTCTCGGCACTTCTTGAAAAATGTTTAAATTTGTATAAAAAACTAGAAAAATTTTCTAAACAGTCATAAAATTACTCAGATATTCTGAAAATTCCGAATTTACATAAAAAATATGAAAAGATTCGAGAAAAATGTTCACCAGAGAGATCTGAAAATAATTTTTTTATATAATTCTGACTATTAAAATAATCATGTGAAACGTTCCAGTTGAATGTTAAAATATAAAAATTTTATATTGTATTTAGCAGCGTTCTTCATCATGCTTGTGTTTCCTACATAATTATATTCCTTCCTAATTATTTTGATGGTTCCATTAAAAATTATTTTTAGATCTGCACACACACACATCTACCTAAATTTTTAAATACTTTAGCAAAATAGTTCTTTTTGTGTAAGAATTTAATTTAAAAAAATTGGCGTCATAATCAAATATCAATTTCTCTCTTAATCTATTTAATTTCAATTTTGTTTGGAAAAAAAACAAATGTTTAGACTTCTACGAAATCAATTAGCTACTAATCTGTTCGTATATTATCTATCAATACCGTTGCTGTCGTATTTGATGTTATCCACAGATTCCGCGTCCGGAAAGAGGCGGAGAAACTCGAAAACAATGCCATTCGTCCATCCGAAACCGTCCTGTACGTTATATTCGCCGCCACCACCACCTTCGCCTGGATGCATGGCATTATACTGAAATTCAAAAATTAATTACTTTGTGTAATCGGACGTTTCTGATTCGCAAAGCAAATCGCGTCGCGTCGTACGAAAGTAATCAAGACTCGCATTCTAAATTATCACTTCCTCCGTGGTTTCCGTTATAGCAGCGAGTTAATTCGCGCTGAGGAATACTTATCTTGCAGTGAAAATCTAATTTCTCTCGATCGCGAGAGAACTTGGATGAACTTTCCTTAGTTAGTTAAACGATACTTATAGCGTCATCGTCTGAGCGATTGAGAACTCGTCGAGAACTCGTGGAGCGAATCTTCTTCGAAATATTCGTTCTGACGGTAAAGGAATATTTTGTTTTAAGATTTTTCGATATTCATTAGAGAATCATATGTAAATTTCAATCGAACAGCATTTTTAATTGTGTCATTGGACTAGGCCTGTTCAATTTCAGTTCTAGAGCCAAAATGCAAAGCCATTGACGCAAAAAAAAATCAATATAGGTCAGATTAGATTACACTGTAAAGTGTTAATACGTATCTGAGCGACGCTTATTAACACTTTACCATGAAATCTTATTCACATTGAATTTTTTTATGGCTTTGCGTTTTGATGGCTTTGGAGCTCAAATTGAATAGATCATGTATAGTGCCTTGATCTTTTTTTGCCATTTAAAACTTCAAATTAATTTTCATTGAAGATTATTTAAACGTTTATTTCAAAATTCGTTCTTTTAAAAAGCTAATTAAAAGAGAATTAACTCGAGCTCGACAAATAATCAGTTTTGCAAATGGAAAATGTAATTTCAATTCTCTTACGTCAACGTGTAAAATCTCGCAAGAGAATATCTTCAGATCGAAGATCTTTTCTCATCTTCAGAATGAGGCGCAAGAAACTTTAATTGAATCGATTGAGTATGTTTGTTCAACAAAATGGACTGGCTATTTCCTGCGACAGCTCGTTATTGATACACCGATATCGACAAGATGTAATCTGTACAAAGTACCGAAGGGTAAATTTCGTCCATCATTCTCT